CTTTCCCTAGATATTGTATGATTAAGATTTAAGAGTATACATTTCAATTAAAATTGAACCCAGGACTCAGGAGTATCTATATTAGTCTGATATGATTTTTACTGAGAAATTTTGCTTTGATTGGGATCGCAGTGAGATTAGCCCAACTTAGAAAAGTGGGGTCGAATTGGGTGGCAGTAACACAGCCTAACGAGTGATAGCTGTGGAGTAGTGACAGTGAACATCTCAAAAAAATAAATTAAAAATTAACTATAATTAAATATTAATCTCAGATGAAATATATTTTTAATTAATTATAATATGACTATCATTGAAAAATCATATTCTTTTATTTAAAATGCTTATAGATATGAAAGAGATTATTAAGTTATGTAAATATAAAAACAGTAGGAATTTTAATTAGTTGATAATAATATGAATTTTATTTTAAGAAATTCAATAATTTAATGTGAATGTAAAATACCAACTTTGGTGCAATGTATACAATTATTTATTAAATAATTTATTTTCGATATTTTTTCATTTATTTCTCTTTAGTTTGTGCCGCATCAAAAGTTGTTTCTCTAAAAGTTTATAAATGAGAAAATTGATCTTAATTAGTTGTAACATTAATTGTTACTAAAATTTCCACTTAGAAAAGGCTTCGGGTTTCTTGTATCTTGACATAGAAAATTGAGCCGTTGAAATTAGGAATGGTAACGGAGTGGATCGAACATGAGTTTCATGATATTCGTTTCCGTCCTCGTGAATCAAACCTATCCTCGTACCCGTTCTTATATTACAATTATAATTAGGTTGCTTCTCTATCTCATATTTTAATTAAGGGTTTTTTTAATAATTAAACAACTATAAATATTTCACATTATAATAAATAATTACACATAATAAAACATTAAGATTCTTTAACACAATTAAATTGGGAGTGAATATTAAACCAGAGATGGGGACGGAGGTTGATATTAAACTAGGGATAGGGATAGGGGTGAGTATTAAACCAGGGATAGGGACAGGGATGAGACAAGTACGAGGCACAAGTATATACTTGTACTTATACTTGTATTTGATTTAATATATCAGATTTTACCCGTATCCGTACCTGATCAAACTGGATATTCTTCGTTAAAGTCAAGGCGAGTTCGTGTATTACTTACGAGTATGAGTTTATTTGTCATCCCTAGTTAAAATGTCAACATATCTATAAAAGAATATAAAAAAAAAAAAAGCATATATGATGAACCTTTGAAATTCAAATTAGGGTTCCACATTAACTAAGACAAGGAGGGGATTGCACATATCTACCAAAGGAATGAATGGCAACAAACATGATGTTTTTCATCCAAATATTTATTTGGTAAAGAACTCCATCTTTATGAAACTCTATCCTCTGGTATTATTGAATCGTAGACTCTTTCTCTAGCCTTGTTTGCCTGAATTAGAAATAAAATCTTTAGAAAAAGACATATGAGAAAATGAAAGGAAGAAAGAAAGGAGAAAAAGGAAAAAAGTGGACCTCTTCAGCCCAATCAGTACGTAAGGTAATGATAAGTAGACATAATACTTGAGCAACAAGTCCACATATAATCCCCATCCAAAGCCCCTACATAAGTAATAATATTATAGCATCTTAATCTTATTATGAAAATGACAATAGGACAATGTTGCAATTCCACAAAGGATAAACTTCTAAGTTCTCTTACCTTCCCTCCAATAGACAATACAAAAGCAAATATAACAGCTGATGGAATCCCAACTAGATAATAAGAGCCCAAATTGATAAATGCACCTATTTTCTGCCACCCACACCCTCTGCAAGTGCCTGCATTCAATTATTAATTTAACCAATCAATTATCTATCATCTATTAATAATATTTAAATCTCATAAGCCACCTAAGTTTTAAAGCTCAAATATTCCATTAATAAATAAGCTCCTCTACTTTTCTCTTTAGTTGCCACATGTACGTTTTGCCTAACATGTCACCTCCTCCTTTCAATTTCTTATTGTTCTCCTTCCAAGTTTATCAGAAAATAATTAATTCAATTATTATTAAATAAAAATTTTAAAAGATAAATATGATCCAATACAAAATGATTAACATAAATTGGGTTGATTGGAATCGGATTGTAAAAAAAAAAAATTGATTCAATATAAATTGATTAACATTGATCGATTTAAATTTAAATATTCTCTCAAATATATTTTTAATTTTGTAAAATCAACGAGTTTTGGTTTTATTATCATAAAAAAATTATATTTTTCAACCTTCTAAAATTTGGAATTACTATTTCTGGTCTTCGAAAATGAATAAATTTTAATTTTAATTTTCACTTATTTAATTTCATACATCTAAAATTTAAAGTTGTTGTTTATTGTCTTTATTGTTCATTTTAAGATAAATAAATAATATTTATTTTAAATATTTATAACTTTTTAGAAGTATCACTTACTATGATATCATAAACAATTGTAGTTGTCACATGTATAATTATTTGACATTATGATAAACATAGAAATAGTTAACAAAAGTTATATATAATAGTAGAAAGTAATACAGTAATTCCAAATTATAAAGGAATACAAAATAAATAATTTCTTTTATAAAGACAAAAATCAAAACAAACTTATTTTGTAGGGACTCAATATATTTAATATTTGTTATTATTACATCAATCATGTAATTTATTATAAATATTTCACTAACATAATTTTTTCAAAATTAATTTGAAGTAAATTTAAATTAACTCTAAATACAGAAATTTTTTTATTAATTTATAAATACCTACAAAATCTAACTAGTTTCTTTGAGGTCTTCAGCAACATAAATGTAAATTGTTGTTTTAGGATGATTTTGAAGATTTAAGATGGGGCAAAAAATTATTCTAATTGAAATTAAATTAAAAGACTAATATTTATATATATAAAAAAAATTAATCGTCAAATTATAGTTATTATCATCGTCGTTAATGTTGTTTGTTACTTTTGTCAGCTCTCATCACTACCATAATTACATATATTATAATTAAATGTTAATATTAATAATGTATTATTTTTTATCTTAATATAAAAAGTTATTACTGTTGTTTTTATTATAATTTTTTCTCATTTAATTTGAACGCCACCTGTTATGTGAGAGTTAACTTTTTGCATAAAGCACATCAATATCTCAATTATATATATTCTTTTATGATAAATTTTCAGTAAATTAATATTTAATTATTTTTTAAGAAGATCAATTTTCCACCTAGTTTATTTTTATTTAATTATATAACATAAAAAAATAAGGCTTACAATTATGTATATATCTAAAATATATAAATGCAAATATATTTATAAAAATAATATTTTTAAATCACATGTTTATATAAAGTAAAATGATATAATATATGTGTGGATATAAAATTGTTTAAATACATATTATATCTTTTTAAATATATACTAACATAATACATAAAATTAAAAAAAAAAATTAAAGATCGGAAACTTATATCTAATCTTAGAGCAAATATGCATGAAAGTTGGAGTTCGACATGAAGAAAATACTATATAAGTGGATGTGGTTGAAATATATTTGTTATTTAATTTTTTAATAAATAAATAAATTTTTTATTGGGTTTAATGAATTAAATACGAAAGCATTGTCATCTTTATGAAATATGTGTTGATTACTTAATTATGAATAACTGAATGAATAGTGATACTACTAAGTATGAAACGAAATAGATAGAGAAAATGGATGCTTGTGATATTTAGAGAAAGAAATAAAAGAAAAACCTGAGAGTACACCCTGGAGTGAATCCACGAAGCTGGACACTGCAAGAATTGGCATCATGATTGATACATATTTAACCACTTTTTCTTCATTACTATACGCGTGGCCCCAAACATTGCGTATTAGTATCATCATAATTCCAATTAATGTCCCCTCAAAAATGGCCATTACTGATACTACACACACTGCTAAACGTGCAATCCAAGGACGACCAGCTCCAAGTTCATTTGATACTCGAGTGCTGCATAAAATTAATCACACAATAATTTATTGAAGTGGAACCAAGGGTTGTATTGGAACAAGTGTGTTGCTACTTGCTACCACTTTACCTCACAGCTGCACCTAAACCATAAGGGAACATCCAAGCAGCTGATCCTGTATTCAAGCTGAGAACATCACATTAAATTAGTGAAATTAATAGAGAAGATCAAAAGAACGGTGAAAAGTATCTTAAATATGAAACTAACCAGATAGATAGCACTGATGTTTCCAACTTTGGATTTGGTAGAAGCCCAGATAGGAGAACCATCATTTCAAATGACCAATTTTCCAAGCTGTAAACACATTAGGATGTAAAACTGAATTGAAGTTGAACACAGCAACAGAAAAAAGCTGAAGGAATTACCAAACCATAATGGCTGAAGGAATGGCAAGCCTCACAAAAGAGGGGATGTTGTGCAATGCTGCTTTTGAAAAGCCTGTCCATGTTTTTGCACACTTGGGAGAAAACTTGACATAGAGTGACAGTATGAAAACATTTATCCAATAAGATATAGAATTTGCTATGGCTGCTCCTCTGCTTCCTAGTCCAGACTTGTATACCATGATCCAACATACAGGAAGATGTAGTACGGTAGTCACTCCAGAGATGAACATCATGGGAAATACAATATTTTGTGTTTGTAAGAATCTGTTTAGGCACATAAGAAGACCATAGGCAAAAAGGCTTGGAACCAATAACTCAGAATATTTTCCAGCTTCTGCAGAGATTTCAGGATCTTGGCCGAGGAAAACCAGAATGGATCTTGTGTTTGCCCAAATAATTGCTAAGGGTATGCTGACAATCATAAGAACAATCATGGCTCTCTGTGCATGTATGCCTAACATGTGGTGCTGCTTTGCTCCATATGATTGACCACACAAAGTATCCAAGGCACTTGCCATTCCAATCTGTCCTAATACAAAACCAAGAATAGCTTAGACTTTGAACACACAACACTAGACTATTCTTTGCTTGCTTAGTGTATCATTATTAACTAATGCCCGTCAAAACAAGTTTGTAACCAAAACCATTTACTTTACGATTAAAAACGAACAACAAACTTGTTTTCAACTAGTTAGTGAACTTTTCTTAATGAACATAGTCTACGCATTATTTTTTTTTTTTGTAGAATCGATCTTAAGAGCACGATTCAACTAGATGTATTGACTTCCTACAACATATTATGGCTGAAAATTGAAAACTAGAATAGACCCGTGACATATTTAAATTAAACTAAACCAAAAGTAAGCTGACAATAATCATATATTATTATAAGTGAGATTAGTCTTTTAATATCGTGGGTTGAAAATACCCTGGTATTAATATAATTTTCAATTTTCATAACCAACGACACAAAACCAAGAATGATTTTTTTTTTTTAAAAAAGGAAGATAAGGAAAACACAACTCACCAATAGGCTAAAGCCAGTGACAGAAGAAAAAGAAGTAGCCATTGAAGCCCCAGAGAGAGCCAACTCTCCAAGGTGGCCAACAAACATAACAGATATAAGCTGAATGCAAAAGTTGAGGAGACCCACAGATATCAAAGGCCCTGCCAGCCATAACTGCAGCTTGATTTCTTCAAAAATTTCTCCTCTTTCTAATACCCTTTTATTGTTTTGCTCTGTATCATTATCAAGCATGGCTCCATCTTGCACCGAGACTTGAATCAAGGGAGATCTTAGAGGTGCACTCTGACTTCCTCTCTCCATGTTTACACTTTCAGAGTCACAAGGGGTTTTCTCACTTTAAACAATAATAATGCAGTGTGCTTAAGAAACATGGAAGCTAATTTAGACCATTAACAAGAGACGTCATGGCTTTTTCTCTAGATGAGTTAAGAAAAAATCTTGGTAAATAACTCACCTCATATTGAGTGAATTTCTTTAAGACTTGGTTCATGCATTGCGCCACCGTAAGAGCCTACTCACCCTCACCAAATCTAGCTAAAAATTATGTACAATTATTGATGGTACGATTCCTGACTTTCGTGAACTAGTTTGTTTTCTCCTTTCTTATACATGCTGTGTTAGTAATTCTATTAATTACTTTAAATTTCTTAGTAAATCAGGTTGTTGCCAATTTATTGAAAATCACACGGTGAATCGTTAAACAAGGTCAGGAATTAATGTTTGTTATGTTAGAAAAATATGATGCAGCTGATATAAGAATTTATGCTTAATTTAGTTAGTTATTATTTTAATTAATTTCTTTATAAGAATGAGCTATCGTAGAATAATAATTAAATACTATTAGAAGTCATAATAAACTGATTTATTTGTTATTAATAGATGAACTAATAGATGGCAGATATAATATTTAGAGTGAGTCCCTAATTTTGTCTTTAAAAGTTATGCTATGTTTCATTTTCATATGGATTTAAAGAGTGACTAAAGCTAAAAGATAAAAATAAAAAATTCTATATATCTTTTACTAAATATTAGTTTTTTTGTTATTTAATTTGCTTATGAGAGACTATTGAAATACCGGTTAGTAATAATGGCTATAGGAACGTGTTTCTGAAATTCATTTTGTTTTGCTTCCCCTATTTGATTTAGGTTGTTAAGAACTTAAGATATTTTATTCATTATATAAATTTCTTACCTTTGGAAGGCTTCTCTATATTCATCATGTTTTAATAGTAATTGTGAAATTTTATGATTCTCTATATTTTTTTTCTTCTGCTACTTATCGAACGAGAGTATTTGGATGATGTGTAATCAAGTTATACTTCTGCAATGTAAAGGCTTCGTGTTGTTTTATCCGATATATCACGTTTTCTTAGAATTGAATTGCTTAACAAAATAATGTTCCTATGGAACAAATATGTTCGTGTCTTTATTCAAATATGTGAACGACAATAAAAGGAAAGTATGATCGATAATTAATTGATATATTAATTGAATGGATGAATCGGGGTGCACGGATTTATTGTAACATTTGCGGGAATTACAATTATAACACATTTATGGATTATCTAAAAGCAATAGATAATTTCAGTTGGTACAAGTTTTGTTGTTAATGTATGTCTCATATATTGATTATTGTCACAATCATAAAGTTTTTAAGATTCTATTGGTTTTATGTTATTTATTTATTTATTGACAGGAATGATTTTATGTTATTAAGATCTTAAAAAAATAATTTTATTGTCTAACGATTTTATATTTTTTTTATTAAGATTTAAATATATTTTAAATTTATATAAATATGAATATGTCTTTGTTTTAATCGTTTGAAAAAAATTGTCATTTCTATATTCTTTTTTAAAATATATGAATATGTTTTCACTTTTAACCACTTTTTATTTATTTTTCTTATATGACTTGCTTTAAATTCAATTCTATTTGAATAAAAAGATATATTAGTATTAAATATTAACAAGACCTTTGCATTAAATTTTCAGTACATCTATAACATTACAATGGCCGTGTTCACTTTTTCTTTACCCATTCACTAACTTTATAAACTACATCATTATTATGTTTTAAATGCCAATAAAAATATTAATAATTAATTAATTATGATGAATATGACGTTTAAGATAATTATTATAAAATTAATAAATTTATTTTACATAAACATTTTATGACTAAAAGACACTTTTACACTTTTAATACATAGATTATTTTTTTCTATATAAAAAACTCTATTAACTATAAATATAAATTTCAATTTCAAAATAGATATATTTTCTCAATTCTTATTTAACTTCCATTATTTTATATTTTTAAAATAAAAATAATTATACATACCATTAATGGATATAGTATGTGTCTTTTCTTTTAGTATATAAATAATAGTAATAAGAATTTAATCATCATATATTATCTTATATTTTTTATACAATCAATTAATTAAAAATCATTATTTATATAATTTTGAAGATAATTATTATAAATTTTAAGTTAATATTGATGATAGATTGTGATTGAATGATAATATAAAATTGGATTACATGAGTATCATGGTTAGATCCTAGTAATAATAACTGAACAAGGTTTTATCAATCAAATAACGTTATAATATTGTTTTTGTTGCAATTATGTATGTAAATAAGCTATAATAACACATTCGGAAGCAACAACAATGGCTAGTTAAAAAGGGAAAAAAATATATCCCGATGCTTCTAGTTTGTAATTTCTATCTGTAGACTTTAGAAGGTTTTCCCACCAGGTATATGCGTCTTTATTACGGATCAATTTGAAAATGATCTTGGTCAACATTGTATCAGGCATAACAAATATAGAATATAACTAAATAAGGATATGATGCGTCCTCTTTAATCATAAATTTAAAGAGTTTGTACCAAATAAATAAAGTACAAATTTTAAGTCTTGCACTAAATGAACTCATTAATCTAATCGATCCAAAAGTTTATAATATTTCAACCAAAAAATTAAAAGTGTCAAAAATGTTATCACGTGATCATGTTTCCACACTTTTCTCTATTTTAATTTAGTCTTCCTTTCTCAATACACAAATTATGAATATCTTACTAATTCAAACAAGTGTCTTGTCTTAATTTCATATATTGAATTTTTTTTTTATTCATTTTAATTATTATTTTTATTTTGAAATTTAATTTGATTTAATAGCTATCTCAAAATTTTATTTTTCAATTATTTCAAACCATTCTCCTTTTTAAGGATGTTTAGGTGATTTCATGAAACTTTTTTCTCTTAATCAAATAAAATAATTTTCACTTTTCTTTTCATCTGTTTTCTATTATAACAAACAGGTGAAAAATCTATTTATTTTCCTTTTATTTCATTGTCTTCCTTTTTATTTTCTTAAGTTTTGCGTTAAAATAATTCTTTTTGCAGAAACGATTTCATTGGGCTTTTTTATGGGCTGGGCCTCCCAAAACCATCGTGATAAGACTTTGGCTGATGATATATACACCTCCATTTTTTTATACATACACCCCCTTTTTAAAAAAAATATATTAAATTCCTAAATTATTCTTAATATTATTTAAAATAAAAAAATTATCCTGGAAAATTTTTTTCGGAGGTGTATTTGTACATAATTATGGAAAGTTCTTTCCGGAATACTAAAATTACTATTCCGGAAATAACTTTCCGTCAGAATAATTCTGGAAAGTATTTTTCGTAACATTAAAATTACTATTGCGTAAAGCTCTTTCCGGAATTATGGTAACAAATACACACACTATTAATATTCCGGAAAGAATTTTTCGCAATAGTAATTCTAGTGTTACGGAAAGTATTTTTCATAATTATTTTGACGAAAAATTATTTTTGGAATAATAATTTTAGTATTCTGGAAAGTACTTTCCGTAATTATTCTGGCGGAAAGTTCTTTTCGGAAGGTTCATGATATATACACCTCCTGTTTTTTTTATAAGTACACCTTCTTTATTTTTTTTAAAAAATTATAAAATATTATATATATATTTTTTAATTTTATACCTTTAACTTTCAATTTTCTACTTTTTTCTTTTTTCACACTTTTTTTTTCTCTTTCAATTTTTATATGCTACCAAAATAGGTGGAGTGAAGGAAAGATAACGGGGTGCATGTAAAAATTGAAAAAGGAAAAAAAGAAGAAAAAAGAAAGATCTGTAAAAAAATTACTAAATTAAATATTGTGAATGTAAAATTAAAGAAAAAAAGTAAAAAATTAAGAATATTTTAAAATTTTAATTATTTTTTTGAAAAGGAGGTGTACTTATAGGAAAAAGGAGGTGTATATATCATCAACCTAAGACTTTTAGCGTGTATTTAGATTCTCATCCACAAACTTCAATCGTGGATTAGAGAGTAATTATTTATTATTTTTTATGTATTTTAAGGTGAAAACTTGTTAAAACGTGGATTACCGACGAGAATTTAAACATACACTTAATGCTTATTTATTGTTAAAAAATAATCCGAAGGGAAGAGAATTATTTGGAAAAGAGTGGTATGAACTACCCCGAAGGCAGGCTAAACGACCATTGTGGTGCAGTTTTACAAACAATATACCAAAATGGGATTGTTTTGAAACATATTATACCTTTGGGGCTATTTTATTAGGTGTCGCTATGGCCCATAGCGACTCCCATGACACGTGGCTTTTTTGTTTTTTTTTTGGCTTGGTTGGGCTGGACCAGTGTCGCTATCAGCTGGCCCACCACAGCTGATGGGCTTAAAAAAATTATGTAGCCCATAGCGACACTGGGTAAAGAAAAAAATAAAAAAGGAAAATAATAATAATGTAAAATAAATATAATAAAGTGAACTATTTATTATATAATTATAAAAAGAAAATTAAGTTTTAAAAAAACGTAATTTTAAAATAAATAAAATGTATTTTTTTAACACAGTCGTTGTGGCCCATAACGCCTGAGTGGAGCTATGGGCCATAGCGCCCCAATTTAAAATTTTTTTTTTCGTTTTTAAATTATTTTTTACATTTTATTACTTATTTTTTAAAATTAACATTTTTTTTCTTATTTCAATCTTTTTTTCCCTTTTACCCGTTATTTTTTTATAAATTTGTAAAAAAATTTATATTTTAAAAATATTAGATATATTTTTATAACTGGCGCTATGGACCATAGCGCTCCAATTATTAAAAATAATTGGCGTTAATTCATTTATCAGTTTTTATATTTAAAAATTATTAAAAATAATTTACGATAGGCGCTGTCTGTCATAGTGCCCGGTATGCGCTAGCAGCCACAACGCTCCAATTTTTACATTTTTTAAATATTATAATTACAAAATTTTGTTTATCAACTCCAATATTTAATACTGTTAATTGATTGTTGCCGTAATTTTTAATAAAAAATTTAGAATAAATTATACATGGAATATACATATATATACACCAGTTAAAAACTTTAAAGTTACAAGACGTGTAAAAGGTATAAAAAAAAATGGTATCAGAATTGACGAAGAGTAAAATATGATTTTTAATGTTCTCTATTACAATTTTCATAAAATTATAAATATATCTCAACAAA